AGTAACTTCAAAATTTTTACCGTAATTTAAAAAGTGTAGTAGTTTTTGTGATATTGAATGAAAAAAAAAAAAAAAATGAAGAGCTGTAGAAACAGATAAGGTTACTTGAGACAGGTAAGTGTAAATAAAGCACAAATACAAGGATTTTCTTGGGACAGAATTCCCTTAGATTTTGAAAAAAATTTGTGTAACAGCCAATATTATTGAGTTGTAATAAGAATAAAAAGTTTATTAGACTAATTAAATCAATCTATAGAATTAGCAAGGGTGAAAGGTTATTTTTCGAGTATTTTTTGATCTAAACCATTTACATATATGCATTGAACGATATAAGGAAGAGCGAAAGAGACAAATTAGATTGAATTAACTACCAAATTTCCGTAAAAAACTTTTGGATGCGTGAGAGAGTTGAATAATGTAACCATGGAGAAGCAAACTGAAGGTTCTGAAGGAGCAATATCGGACCAGAACGAGACAAGAAGGGAGCGGAAGAATGGCATGAGAGCAGGGCAACAAATGTTTTTATATGCAGATTAGCTTCCTTTCTCGATCAGAACTGCAACAGACTGTTAGCAGTGATGAGAGAAAGTGATATCTGTTATTTGCACTCTTCAAATGGCTGATTTATGAGGGACGAAGAAGCATTGGTGGAAGGACAGCAAGTGGTAATAAATATTGTCGTGTGATTCTATTCTAACCTGAAATGGAATAAAATATAATTTCTGTCATATCTATTGTACCATATTTTGACTTAGGCCTTATCAACCTGATCACTAAAACGGATGAAATACTTCTTTTTTTCAGTATGGATAGAATTGAAATGGATAGAATGGAGGATGAATAGATAAATTTTTGAGTTTAGTCCAAGAATGAGAGATATATTCGTTAAAATTAAAAGAAAAAAGTAGGAATCAATTTTCGGAAATGGATCCCATTTTTTGAAACGATAAGCACAACAGGGAGCTATTCCGAATAATGGGAACTAATTATGGCACTGTAGTCGTGGAAGAGCTTTCATATACGAAGGCTTCACCTATGAATATGATCTATATTTTGCGTTTTTCATATATTTTCTTTCACTCATTACTTCTTTTGGATTATTATAAACAATCTGTGAAATGTCTTTCAGTGATTTCATAACTTCCAATCAATTTTTCCGCACAATTACTTGGAAGGTTTTACTGTTGCGACTAGGGCTTATCTAAAATTATTTATAAAAAATACAACTTAACGAAATATTGGTATAGAACAGAGTAATTCATTAGAGAAAAGAAAATTTCACCCCAATCTAAAATTTTTGAGTAGAAAAATGTCTTATAGAACTAAATAATTATCCAGGTTAAGATAGTAATTTCAGATCTTCAAATGCTATTTCACGCAGTTTAAAATTTCTGGTGAACTTTCATCATATCAGTTTGATAACTGCTATCATTAAAGAGTACAATTAACAAATGCTGCTTCCAATTTCATCAATAAATATGTAGCAGACAAAGAACTTTATTACCCAACCATTTGGACAACAAACTTAATCCCTAATAGTCTTAATAGTACTACAAAGTTGTAAGAAAATTTATTGATAAAGGCAAAACCCAAGGGTTGGAAATTTTTGAAATGAAAAATGTTTAAAAAGTGGACAGAAACCAGTAGAGAAAACTAACTATATAAGGACAATTTAAATTGGAAAGAAGAAATCCATTCATTGGACTAATGAAAATCAATAACTAACATAACTAAACGAAATCTGTGGCTTCAGTCATAATTACTTTTTGTTTCTTGTCGGATTTCATTTCAATTTTAGACAGAATGAATGAGTTAACAATAATTAATTGAATAAGAAAAAATTTAAGCAACTATTTTTTCACAACAATTCACAAATTCTCACAACAGTTCCTTTTTTGATATTTTTTTAAAACAAATATAAAAATAAAAGTTTTAAAAATTCAGTAATTGTCAAGACTTGAAAAGTACAAATTGTGCATTACCAGATATAAAAAACTTAGAGAGCAGATGGCTCATTGTTTTTAATAGGATGAATGCAAAGTTCAACAAAAATTGCTCAAAATATAGCTATTTATTTGAAATACTGAAAATGGATAATGTTACAATACACAACAGGTAGCAATGTCAACCTCTTTTTGATAAATATTGATAAAACTAAATAGCTAATTAGCTGAGCTAATGGGAAAAAGTTCAAATGATACGACTGAGTGTATTTTGTGGGATGCAAAGAACATGAAAAAATGATTTGAGATTATTTCTGTTAGTCATCAATATGTTTAGCTTTAAATATCATTACTTCTGGACTCTCAGACATTAAATATTTCAAGCTTTTCTTAAACTTAATTTCACACTTCAATGAAGCTACGAGCTATTAATGAATCATTTTCACAATCAAAGTGACCGGTATGACATTGAGCAAAAGTAGGAAAAAGTAAAGTTAAAATATCGGCATGATATCGATAGGTCTTAATCAAGTGAATGTTTCGAAACTTGTTATAAACAATAGCTATCGAAGCTACGATACATTATGAGGATAGATCAGGAGAAATTTATATAACTGTAAATTGTGTTTATAAAAAATTGTTTATTGAAATGCCATTGGTGGATTGCCCTATATCAGTTTCAGGCAATACTTTTTTTTGTAATTTCGTTTTTTCCAGCAATTTAAACAAATGAATTAACTGCAAGCAATTTACCTTTTTTGTTATTCTCTTTGACACTTTTTATGAATTTGTAATAAGAGAAAGTCAATAAATTTGTTCATTCTTCCTTATTGTTTATTCTTCTTAAAACAACCGAACAATTTTGAAATCGTTCATCTCACTGAAAACATCATCACTACTTCACTACTTTGATATTTTGTCATCACTACTTTGTCATATGTTTTACGTCTGTATGGATTAAAAATGTCAATTTAAATTTAATATTTAATGATCAGATCAGGCTTGATTTGCACACTTGGCCATAATTTTTCCATTCACACAAAATATTTCAAGATGAAAATGCTGAAATTAACCAGATTTGTTTTCTTTATTTTCTCAGAAAGTTATCTGAAAATGTTACCTTTATATATAGATGGATAACATTTTAATATCCTCGATGAAATTGGTATGTAAAACTTTCTAAATAAAAGTGTTTTTTCTCCTAAGCCTAACTATTTAAAAAATAATACAGGGGAATTCCAAATTGATCCAAGAATTATTCTGGTTTCAATTATTCAAATGCTCCCAATGCTTTCAGTCTTGAGATGTTAAATGGTCCGTTTTGTAGATCAAATCTTAGCGCAAGGTGGGCGATTAATTTTTCTAGAAGGCCATATAAGAAGCTGGAATGATTTTCGAGGGCCGGACTAATATATTTAACTCAATTCTATCCAATACCATGTCCGTATACATGTATATGTATAATATTTCTTCATAAAAAACACTGAATGGAAACATTGTAATGGATTCAGTGAAAATGTTGAGGAATTAAATATATTATTATTTAATGTTAAGATGATGAAAGATCAACTGACTTTAACATTTAAGTGTTGCGATTTAAGATTAGAATGGCATGCCTATTTATGATGTGAGAAATGAAAAATAGATAAAAAGTTAGGAAATCGCTACATAAAAGCAGCATTGATTAAAATTTGGGGAAATCCAAGGAGCGGCGAGGAGGAGGACAATAGACTTTTCCCGCGGTTCCCAGGACAGAAAAAAACTTATTGGAGGTTGCGTCCGCTCCGCTCAGGCCAGCTTTAGCGGTTTAAATGGTACCAGTTTATACCTATTCTTTGATAATACGTATCACTTGAATGTGTATATT